GATAAACCAAGCCTTCCCGTTGCATCTCGACGTTGTTGGAAGAACTCATTTTCTGTTGTTAGACGATCTACAATGCGCATAAAGACATGTCTCCTCATTCAAAATCCACGACGAAATTGAAAATCTGTATAGACAGGATTTTCAGAAAAATAATCTTTGAACAAACGATTGTGATCTTCTTCACGATTTCTCTCAATGTATATTCTTCGGCGTGATTGATTTTCCTCTTCGTGGTTAGTGATAACATCTTGAATATGCTGAAATTGCATCTACAAATCGAAAGAAATCACATCCTCCTCATCGGAGTCTGAACTCGAAATTGTTTGAGATGAATTTGACATTTTTTTGTAACAAAGTTGTTTGTTACAAATATTTTTTGAAGTGAAGTGTAGTGTAGAGTTTTTGCCAACATAGGGTATTTATAGTTTACATTATATAAAATAAATAATACTGATCATAATAATAATAATATTTTAAAGTATGTAAATAAATAGTACAATAATAAATATGATGACATATAACAATAGTGATGTAATATAACAATACTAGTGTGTTTAAATTTACATAGTACAAATAATTATGTGAAATGATAATAATAATAATAATAATAATATATTTGAAAATATGTAAATAAATAGTACAATAATAAAATAATTGAAAATAAATTTGATGACACATAATAATAGTGATGTGATATAACAATGCAAGTGTGTTTAAATCTACATAGTACAATAATAACTATGATGTGATCTAACAATTCATGTGTGTTCAAACATATCTAGTGCAATAATTAAATAATTGAAAATAAATTTGATTACACATAATAATAGTGATGTGATCTAACAATACAAGTGTGTTTAAATCTACATAGTACAATAATAACTATGATGTGATTTAACAATGCATGTGTGTTCAAACCTATCTAGTACAATAATAAATTATGATGTGGTCTAACAATACAATTAATAAAGAAAGCTCAATAAGACAACTTGAAATGATTGATCAGGACTACAATGATAAAAATAAATATTGTGATGTGATATAACAATGTATTTTAAAAAATTAAACAAGCCAAAAATAAATTTATTTGATTTAACAAGACATAATATATATAAATAATATATAAGTTGTAGAGTGTCTAAGTTTTTCTATAAATATGCTTGCATTTACAAAATAAAACACACAAACTTTCATCAAGGATCTTTATATTTTCTCCCACTACTCTACATTCAAGTTTTAACAATTGAGCAAAACTCTCAAAAATCTTCCAATTCTCAAAAGCTTTTTTCATTTCAAAGTTTTACGAACATGTTTGGAAATGAAGATTGTTCGCAAAACTCTTTCAATCCTAATTACTCAAAATTTTCGAACATATGTCCCAAATTTCTACGCTTCATCGTATTCTTCTATTCCTCCACACTACTATTATCCTCAAAATTTTCAACCTTTTGTAGGTTCATCATATCCTCAAAATTTTCAATCATCTGAAGGTTCTTTCAATCCTCAAAATTTCCAATCATTTCAAGGTCCATATCATCCCCATCGATGTGTTTTATGCAAAATATACAAATGGAAAGTATTCCTGAATTTTTCACACAAGTCAATCAACAAGATGAAGATGACGTACAAATCATTGCTCTAACGACAGAGACCAAAAGAAAGTGGATTCGTGAAAAAGATTTGCTTCTTATTAGTGGATGGCTTAACACAAGCAAAGATGCACTAATAGGCACTCTGATAGAAAAGGTACTACTTTTTGGAAAAATATTTATCAATATTTTAATGATAACAAATCTGAATAAGGGATGTCAAGAAGTGTAATCCAATGCAAGAATCGTTGGAAAAATAAATAAATAAAGCCGTTTCAAAATTTGTTGGGTGCTTTCAACAAGCTAACTAACAAAATATGAGCGAAAAATCTTTTGATGATGTCTTGAATAAGGCACATCAAATATATTCTGTATATTGTAAGAAATCATTTATTTATGAACACGCTTGACGTGAATTAAAACTTAAGCCAAAATGGAGTACCAGTCATCGTGGTACAAATGTTATCAATGAACCATCTTATGACAGTGGAGTTGACCCGAAGAGAACTAAAATTAATGAAGATGGTGGATACTCGTCTAATTCAAATCTAACAACACCACATAGTGATGGAGTAGGAGAATCTCCCTCAATTCGTCCTCCGGGTGTGAAAGCATGTAAAAATAAAGGCAAACGGGGCACTGAAGAAATCTTCAAATTCACTTTCCTCCAATGATTTTGAAGAACTGCGAGCTCAAAGTAAAGAAGTTGCATTACAATTTGTTCACATGACACAACTGAAGGAAGAAAAAATAAAAAGCAACGAGCGTATTGCCAAAATGAAACTTTATCGAACACTAGTGGAAAAAGATAATTTGATGGAGTAAAATCTACTTGTTAAGGCTAAATTGTTCGAAGAGTTGTTTTAAATATTGTTTAAATTATATGCATTTTGTTCTATGTTATTCAAATTATCTTGTTTTTTATTTTATATTAATATCTTATTATTAATTATATATGTATAATTAATTATAAACTAAACATATTTATTATTTAATATAATTTTCTATTATTTAATTGCTTTAAAATTTATAATTATATTTTATTTAATAAATTAAATTAAATTTACTAATATTGATTTGTTCAATATAATTATATAATATTTGTATTTATATATTTTAAATTGATAAAATATATTTAATATTAGTATCATTTTATAGAATATAAAATATTATGAATTATAAAAATATTAGAAAATTTAAATATAACAATAAATTTAATATAAATTAAAAAAATATATATAATATATATCATATATATATATATACAAATATACATATATAAATTGGGACACGTGACAGAGATGCTGAAAAGCAACGAATCTATTATTTTTTATTTTTTAAATTGTGACGTGGTACATCTCCGGTGCGGTGATGCGGATGCTCTAAGATGATAATATTGTTTGATATGCCAGCAGCTAAAGAAAAGGCTCTGCAAATTTATTTATATAAAATTACCAACACTACATCTTATACTAAAAACTATCTTAGAAAATATCTAACTATAATAAATTTCAGTTGTAGCGGTGCCAAAAGAATTGAAGAGTAAAAGCTTTGTTTGTTTATGCTTTTGGACATCTTGGTTTGTGTTATTGTAAGTAAAAGAGTTCTTAAATGTCACCTTGTGGTCTTTTTTATTTTTTATTTTTTTTATTTTACCACAATTTTTTATTATTCAAGTATTTTTTTTTTAAAAAAAAAAATATCAAATCAAATAATTACTTTTCTTTTCTATATTATATTACAAATTAATTTTACATTCAAAATATCACATTAATGTATATTTATATTACATAAAAAGACTATTCAAATTCAACTTGTTACTATTAAAAAAATCCAAACTCAAAACCCAAACTCACAAACAAACACATGTTTTTAAATAAATATATACTCTATTCGTTCACTTAATAAGTTTAGATTTATATTTTGCGTCAATATATTTAATATTCAAAATATATGTATATTTATATAATTTTTAATACAAATATCATTAAATTTGTATTATAAAACACTAATAGAAGTATTTTGTCATTTTTTTTTCACTTAATTTATACTATGATATCATAATTAATATTAAAAAATCAATATGCTAAAAATAAATGCCAACATTGTACATAAACAATGTTAATATTTTTTTTATACTACATTATATATGAAGAATGCTGTTGATATTATAAATAAAATACTAATATTTTGTATAAAAATTATTGTTTTTTTATTAGTAAATAAAATATATTATATATATATATTGTATTTTGTAATATTTATGAAATAATTTCATCCAAAAATTATTAGGCAAAAAATTTATAACTAATAGTACTCCTTCCTCCGTCCACTCATAAAATATACAATTATTTTTGGCGCAGTGTTTAAGAAATAATAGTATTTTAATTATAGTGAGTAGTTAAAAGTAATGTAATGATATTTTTGTCCTTTCTTTTTGGTATAGAAGTAATGATGTGATGTAAAATAAGGGTATTTGTGGAAAAAAAAGTAAAGTATTTAATGAAATGTTTACTTTGTAATTGGACGTCCCAAAATAGAAATATGTATACTTTCTAGCTGAATGGAGAAAATATATTTTTATTTGTGACAATGATATTACACAAATAAAAGAAATAAACATAAAAAAAACAGAATAATAAGTACTATAGAGTTTGTTTGTTCAGTGTTTTGACTTTCAAGATAATTTTTTTAGATAAAGAATAGGTAATTGTGAGAGTATATATGGGGTGTTTTTGTTTGGGGGTTTGGATTTTGAGTTGGGATTTGAATAGTAAAAATTTTGAATTTAAATAGTTGTATGACGTGATATAAATAGGGTTTGATGTGATGTTTTGAATGTAAAATTGATTTTTAGTATAATATAAAAAATGAAAAATAGGTGTTTGATCTGATGTTTTTTGGGGGAAAAAATTGGATGAATAGTGAAAATCCACCAAAATCCTTCAAACAAACACACTCATGATATATTAATTTTTTTAAAAAAATATTAGATATATATTTTTTTCTAAAATAAAACAATCTTTTTTTCTTTTAACATTTAAAATATTTTGAGATTTTTACTTATATTTTTAATAATACAATCTAATATTTTTTCTAAAATAAAGCACTCTATTTTTATTTAACATTTAAAATATTTTGAAATTTTTACTTATATTTTTAATAATACTTATACTCACCGTTATTAATTTTCGAATATAAAACACAATAGCTGATAAATTATCCAAATAAAGAAAGTCACCCAGATAGACCAAAAAGCTCGACAGTATCAAGAAAGTTATTAAATATATTTATTTTTTGTTATTAAAATATTTTATAAATTAAAAATAATATAAAAATTAAAACCTTAAATTTTAATATATGAGAAACAATTTGCATTTATGATAAAGGAAAGCAAAAGGAGAAAAGGAATACGCAATTAAAGCGAGCAGCAGAAAATCTGTGGTGTGTTCGTTCGTGCTCGCTCGCTCGTGTGTATCCTCAGACAGATACTCTCTCTCTCTCTCTCTCTCTCTACACTCTTCCTCCAAACCTACTTCGGTGCGCCGAAATCCCCGCTGTTCTTCGAGATTTACAGGCCCTTTTAGTGATTTTGGATTCGGTGGGTGGGTGGGAGGATAATGTGAAAGGCTGACGTCGAATCTGTTTCTTGATTTATTAATACTACTGTTATTCTAGATTTGGGAGTTCGGTTAGATCTGGGCTCTAGGGTTTTGCATCAATGGCTGCCGCTTTTCCTCTGCCGGTCCCCGCTGCGCAGGTTTTCAATTTATTTTATTTATTGTAATTTCCCGTTTTTGATCTCTGGATTGGTGTTATTGTTTGTGCGATTGGGCGTGTCTTTGCGAGTTTTTTTTTACCAATGCCTCTTGTGGAATTCGCTCTGTTTGAGGTTTTGTTAATGGCGTTTATGTTCTGTCACTGTAGATCTTGTCTTGCTGGGTTTATGTAATTAGGTGTTTCGAATTTGGATTTTGTTAGGGCAGTCGAGGGGATAGTGATGTCTGTGAGTTGAATCGAACTTCTGTAAAAAGCATGGTGTGTTTTGTGATGTTTGTGAATTTAGCCCTCTTTAAATAACTCAATTTATATTGATCTCCTGTACAGTTGAAGTCTAGTTCAAGTTTGAGGGCTTCTGTGGAAGGATTTTGGATAGAATAATATATCTGTTTTGAATCATCGAGTTTCTTCAAAATTGGAAGTAGATGTAGTTTATGGTATCATGTTATTTAATGCTGTAATTTTGTTTTGCATCCACGTGTCGACAATCTGATAGAATCGACTGTTTTCCTTTTGAAGAGATCTGGAATATATTAAGGAAAATTCAAGATATATATGCACATGATGGGTATTTGTGATTTGGTTTGGTAATGTTGTGTTATTGTAGGTTGGAACATACTTCGTTGGCCAATACTATCAGATGTTACAGAACCAACCCGATTTTGTGCACCAGTTTTACAGTGAATCCAGCACCATGCTTCGAATTGATGGACATAGAAGAGAGACTGCTTCTTCCATGCTGGTATTGTTTATTATTTTGAAAACTTGATTCGTGTGTATATGTTACAAAATTAAGTTGCGAAGAAGATGGTACCCATTAAACTGAAGTGGAAAAATGTAGTATGCTAATTGTATAATTGTATTACAATTGTGACTCCAAGAATGAAGTGACAACAGAGTTCCCTGCTTTTATATATGAAACTCTATTAATTGCTGGCATTCAATTCTTTTTGATCTATTTCTTTCCGAATTAAAGTTATATAACAGAATAATTTGTCGATCCAAATGCTACACTTGGGATATGCAAAATTGTCGATGGTAAAATTAAAGAATATTAATAGTTAATTAAAAGGTAGTATTACTTTATTTAATCATCACCTCAGTCTTATAAACTATTTATCTAAAGACAGGTAGGTTACCCCATAAATAAAAAATGTCAAATTGTTACTCCTGATATGATCAACTATTTGTTCGTCTTTCAAAGATACTTTCCTTTTATATTTGCAATAATGAACCACGTGGCATGATGTGTTTGTTTCAATTCCAATGCATCATTTTAGAGATTTTCATTCAACTTTGTGTTCTTTTGATCGTAGTTATTTACACTACTTAATCCCTATTCTTAAATATGTGCAGCAAATCCACCAACTTGCTGTTTCCCTAAATTATATGGGGATTGAAATTAAGACTGCACATTCCTTAGAATCTTGGAATGGTGGAGTTCTGGTGATGGTTTCGGGTTGCGTGCTTCTTAAGGGATTTGCTGGGAGGAGGAAGTTCATGGAAACCTTTTTCCTTGCTCCTCAGGAGAAAGGATACTTTGTTCTCAATGATATCTTCCACTATGTCGAGGAAGAACAAATTATGCAGCATCCAATTGGGTACTTATCCCAGAGCAATCTTGACCCGAAATACCATTCTTTGTCTGCAGCTCGAGAACAAGGTTCATTTCTGCCATATGATTTTTTGATATTACTCTTGTTACAGTATAATATTCTGTTCGCAATTTTGTTGATTGCATGTAGAAGAAGGTAATCTGATCAAAAGGTTTTTTGGTTTAATATGTATTAGCGATAAGGAGCATGGTAGGAGAGATATACTGTATGCGGTGTCGTAATGCCCTATTTAAATTAATTAACATATCACTAAATCTTGTTTTGAAGAAGAAATTGGAAACTTAATATGGAGAACTATTGCCTTGAATATATCATACTTTTATTTTTTCACTCCCTTTGTCCCAACACATTTGCTTGTTTTACATTTGGTGCAGCCTTTTAGGTGGTATAATTTTGATAAATTTTTTACAATTTTGCCCTTATTTGTTGTTTGAAATAATTTTATAAATTGTATTTTAAAGGGTAAAAGAGAAAAAATTGTGTAAGTAAAGAAAAGTTTCTGGGCATCCTAAATTAGAAATACTAACAAAAAATATTTGGGACAAAGATAATACCTTAATGCATTAAGAAGAACCAACTATTCAGAATTATGGTATTCTTATAAAACTGATGATTCAGGGTACATTCCCGACAACATTATCTTGTTATTATTCTTTGGCTCAAGAGGTTAATAGGCCAAGAGTTTATTTGCACAAATATGTTATTTTATCCTTTCTGTTTTCATTTAATATTTAACCTCTTGTTTGTGGATTGCAGCTAGCTTTTATATCAGTGAATTATATATGCAACACATTTAACTGTATTTATTTTCATGATTCTCTGTTTACAATATAAAGAGTTTCATCATTTATTTGGTAACTAGAACCAGTGCTTATGGTTGTCTTATTAATATAAGTAAATTTATACTAAACTTGATTTAATGCATATGCAGTATTATACATATTATTTCTGGAAATTAACACAATAACATGTTAGCTCTAATTTTTATGTATATATATGGCAATGTTTTATAGTGCCTAATTACATGTCGGGTGGAGATATTCAGTCAAGAGGACTCTCGGCGCCTGCCAAGATAGAAGCGGGTACTCCAGCGAATAACCACAGCCAAGCCGAGCAACTTAGTCAGAAAATCCCTGAGACAGAGAATGCCAGAGAGGATGATTTTGAGGTTCATTCGAATGGTGTACTTCCAGAAACAAAAACCTCAACTCGTGATCATTTCTCTGGTCCCATCGAAGAATCTGTTTTGGAACCACAGAAACATACTTATGCGTCCATAGTATGTGAATGATAAACAACTTTCCCCTGTATTTTACAGTACATATTCTAGCTGGTGTTTCTGAGAATGTATAAGCTCATTTCTCCGTCAAATTATTATCTGAAGCTGCAGGTTGCTAAAGGACAATCTACGCCACCAGTTTCTCAAGCATCCTTGAACAAGCAGGTCCCTCCGGAGCATACACCTGAAACCATTGGCCAGCCATCACTTGCGTCGTCCAATCAAATTGAAAGATCTGGAATGGAAACTGTCGATGAAGCATCAGCTATGGAAGATGAAGGTGCCCCTCTCCTACTTAATCACCATTTTTAATGCCTTAGGCTTGTGATCTAATTATTAGATATTACTGAAACTATCTACTGATCTGTCTTATGCAGTTGAAGTCAAGTCAGTTTATGTTAGAAATGTTCCCATGACCATGTCTGCTTCCGAAATTGGGGAGGAATTCAAGAAGTTTGGTAGACTCAAGCCTGATGCTGTAGCCATTAGAACCCGGAAGGTCTGGTTGCTGCCTTATTTTCCATGCGTGTCTTATATATATTATATATATATGAAATTTTTTTGCATGTTATAATTTTGCAGGACATGGATGGATGCTATGCATTTGTTGAGTTCGAAGATGTCTCGGGGGTGCAGAATGCTATTAAGGTCTGAGGATTTTTGGTTAAAAATTTACCTTTATCATATGTGTTGTGTAAGCTATTGTATGCTCCCTTTTAGATTGTAAATATGTTCGGTGAATGTTGGTTGGTTGGTCCTTAATTTCTTTTCGCCATTATAATTCTTGCCAACAATCTATTGTCTCCTTTTTCATCATTCTTTCGTTAGGTGTTGAATAGTAGAAATTTGAGCTACCATTGTACGCAAAATTATGGAACACTTTTTCGTATTTTGAAGCAATACTAACACATCTGACATCACCTTGCTTCCAATTTACTTGGGAACAGAAAGTCCTAATATGTTTATTTTTGTCAGTATAGGGTTTTGACTCTAATTGTGATTTTTAGATATGGTATGATTCTTATGCTGCATTCTTTTCCTATAGGCATCGGCAGTTCAGATCGGTGAACACCAACTTTATATCGAAGGACGGAGACCCAACAGAAATAGCTTATTCCGAGGAGGAAGTATGTTTTACTCTCTTTTATGCCTAGTTTTCTTTACAACTTCTAATCTGTCATCCATATTCGATCATAGGGACTGTGTTTATGAAGCTGAATATGCATCAAAGTGTTACTTATAATATGTTCTATCTTTGTTATGTGGTGTAGCTAATTATTTATCAGAACTTTTGTAGGGTTGCATTCCATGAATTAGAAAGTAGGTTGGGAGCTTAGTAGACGGTTTCATGCTTTGTTTAGTTATATTTTGGATTATTTGGTGTACATTTAAAATTTGAATGAAAAATAAATATTAGATGCAATGTTAAGCATCAAAGATGGATTTTCATGTAACATCTTGTTAAAATATTGGGATTTGGTGTGATATTGTTTAGGAGAAAATTTTTTGATAAATTGTGTGAAAGCAAAGTTGAAAATATCCTTGTTTTATGTCATGATGACTACTGAATGATTCTTCTTGAATTTTATCAATCTTCAAAAGCTATGCAATTTCACAGAGTTTATGCAGTTTTAAACATCATATTTATCCTTTATATGTATATATATATGGCGGAGGATCATCTGCGGATGCAAATGTTTATCAATATTGAGATGATGAAATGTTGTATCGCGTATGTTGTTTTCTTGAAATCTATTACGCTGAAATGATATATGATTATGATATTTGGATATAGGTATATAATTTTCGGCATAAATTCTAAAAATGAACAAGCAGAATTTTGTATTTGTAGTCATTTGTTGATTGCATTCTGTGTTATGTTAGTACCTATATGAGATGTTAACTCAAGGAATACTAGTTGTTGATCGATGTTTAGGTTTTGCATAATATTCTGAACTCATATGTTGTTTTCTTAACATTAATCTGCTATTGCTGTGTACAATTTTCAAAAAATTAGTTTCTGTTTAGAACAGTAATATATATACCTTAACCATAGTTACACAATATGCTATATATATGTGTATGTATATATATTTGAAAATCAAGTTATTTAGCTGTAGTTGAATTGGGCAATCTGTGGGCAGTAAAAAAACTGGATTTATACAGCTACTTCCGAGGATGGGATAGGATAGGATCATTCTTGTTATTTGATTGATTGGTTGTTTTGAACAGGGGCAAGGGGTAGAGACAGAATTAGCAGCTACCAGATGGGAGGAGGACGATCCTCCAGCGGTGGGGGGCGAGGGGGTTTCAATAGGGGGGATGGGTTTGAGCATGATTACGGCAGACAAAGGGGAAATGGTTTCTACCGGAAAGTCCCCCGACAAGAATGGGCAAACTCACATGCGGGCTACCACCCAGGATCCAGAAATGGGCACAACTTATCATCGTCGGAGTGAGCCAACACTCGATAATTTTGGAATATTTTATGTTTTGAGTCATTATTATTGTTATTATTTCTTGTTGATTTACAGCAGCAGCAGCAACAACAAATTAAAAAGTGTTTGTAGGCAGCAGGGAGAGAAGAGGCCACTTTGAGTTGGGATTTTAATTAATCTAACACTTAATTTGTTATCTTTGTGAATGGGAGGAGGAAGCTTATTTGAATTGAGGCTTTTATGGCCTGGCCTGGCCTGTCCTGTCTTCTTTCCCATTTCCCATTTCCCATTTGATTTGGATTTGGATTTGGGAAGAGTTTATTCATTCACAGTATTTTCTTACTAAAGGAACATTGATCTAGAACTATAATATGTTTTTTAATAGAAATTTACATGGATTATATAATAATTTTTTTAAAAAAAATTAATCAAATCTTGGTTTGTTTCGGTTTGATTGAAATTAAGGTTATGATTTAAGTTTTAATTTATTTTGTATTTTTTTTGAGATATTTTGGTAGATTCAAATATATGCATCAATATAAAGTTGATGTATAGGATTTTTATTTTTTCTCAATTTAAATTTTTTAAAAAATTATTATATTTAATACATATAATTTTCAGAATATTACACTTGGGAATGATTATTATAGTTTGTAATGAGATCAATTTTCCCTATATGAGTATTATTTATCCAATATAGAAGATAGATTTAAAAGTCCATGCTTTACTTCTAAGTAAATATAAAGCTGTTTGGATGGGAAAAAGGATGGAACCACCGTATGCACGTCAATATATTTTAAATCTGGTCAGTATTTATGTATCTATATCCTCATTTTAAAAAAATGTAATCTAATTTCTATATGCTAATAAAATATATTTATATTTCATCTAAAATTGTATGTTAAGTTTTTTGTTTTGTTAAATTTATCGATAATTTATTTATAGTAAACAATTTTATTCATCAAACAATTTTATTATTACCTGTAATAACTATTTTGACATTATTTTTTCTATCTGTATAGCATTACATTTTTATCAATTCTTTAATAATTTTTTTTATAATATTACTTTACTTTTTACATATTCTGTTTTTACATTAAAATATTCTTCCACCCGTTCCACATAATTTGTCCCTATTTTTTATTTTCGTCTTTCTCGTATAATTTGGCATCTTCTTTTTTGAGAATATGATTTTACCTAAATTTTCGTATCTACATGAATAGATCTATAGTACTATTTTTAAATCTCCGTCCAAACAAAGTGGCACAAAGAGAGTAATAAAATTCATTAATTCACTTACAAAAATTTAATAGATACACATATTTTAGATGGGTAAATTGGTTCTATAAATTTTATTATATAATTTAATTTATTTAATGTTAACTAAAATAGTGTTAGTATCTTATACATATATGTTAAATAGAAGATTATGTATCTTCAAATATGTGAATATAATTTTTTTACAAGTACAAAAGAATATATAATACTGTAAATACTCTTTATATTCAAAATACTTCCTCCGTGTCATAATTATGTATCATTTACTTTTTGCACATGGTTTTAGAAATATTAGTATTATATTGAGATGTAGTAATAATAAAGTAGAAATGACTAAAATAACCTTATTAGTATTATATGATATAAAGTAATGACATTTGTATAATATATTGTAAGTTGTAAGGGTATTTGTAATGTTAGGTAGATAGTACAAGAAATGAATATTTTATTATGAAACGAATTAAAATGGAAAAATAGATAATTTGTTATGAGATTGAGGGAATATATACTTTTTCTTATGTCATTTTCTTTTGGACACGATTATTAAGAAGTGTGTATTAAAAAGTTAATTATGCTTAGTTTAATTGATATGTGAATTGCAATAAAGTAAAATATATTAATTTATTTAATATTTTATAAATGAAATAGATATTAAATATTTTGGCATAAATAAATTTTATATTTGGACAAATAATTAATATAATTATTATTAATAATACTACCTTTTTTAAAAATTAATTTAAATTACGTATAACAGATTATTTATTTAAAATATAAATTTAAAAAATTCGTATTTTATTTGATTTACCCAAAAATTTTACTATTCATCAATTTTATTTTTCTTTTAAAAAAATATCAAATAAAAGTTGCAAGTTTTATATTATATTAAAAAAAAAATTCACATTAAAATTATCATATCAATACATATTTATATAATATCAAACTAAGTATTCAAATAAAAATAAAAATTAATATTCAAATTTTAAACACTCAATCAAATACGTCGTTAGAATTTATTCATATAATTTATTTTTTTCAAATATATCAGATCAAACTTTTATTTTTAAAGTTTTATACTATATTAAAAATTATTTTTATATCAAAATATCACGTAAATATATATTCATATAACATCTAATAAATATTCAAATTGAAAATTTCTACTGTTAATATTCAAACCCAAAATCCAAACCATAACCAAACACATTGTTAAGTTCATTTACGGAATTTTTTCTTCAAAAATATCAAATCGAATTTTTAGTTTTTATTTTTCTTTTAATTCTCCCTCCGTCCCATAACAAAGTATCCATTTTTCCATTCTAGTTCGTCCCATAACAAAATATCTATTTCCTTTTTCAGTAATTGTACTATCTAGTTAACATTATAAATATCCTTACAACTTACAATATATTACACAAATGTCGTTACCTTTATATCAAACATACTAATAAGGGTATTTTAGTCATTTCCACTTTATTCCTACTACATCTCAATATAATACTAATATTTCTAAAATTACGTGCAAAAAGCAAATGAATATTTAGTTATGGGACGGAGGGAGTATTATACTATTAAAAATCAAGTTTAAATAAAAAAACATCACACAATAACTATTCAAAAATTTTACTATTCTTCAATTTTTTTTTTTAAAAAAATAATACTCCCTCTGTCCCATTGAAAGGTTATAATTTTCCACCGTCCCAAAATAAGGTTACCATTTCCTAATTTAATAATTGTACTACCTGCTTCACATAATAAATATCCTTTTGATTTACAATATATTATACAAATGTCATTACTTTTATATTACACCATACTAATAGAGGTATTTTTATCTTTTTTACTACAATCCAATATAATACTAATATTAAAAAATCTACGTGCAAAAAACAAACACCACTCTTGTTGCGGGACGGAGGGAGTATCAAATAAAAGTTGCAATTTTTATATTATATTAAAAAAAAAATTCACATTAAAATTATCATATCAATACATATTTATATAATATCAAACAATTATTCAAACTTTTAAAAAAAATATTAATATTCAAACTTTAAACCACCAACCAAATACATCTGTTAAAATTAATCATATAATTTTTTATCAAAAAATATCATATCAAACTTTTATTTTTCTATTTTTATACTATATTAAAAATTATTTTTATATCAAAATATCACGTTAATATATATATATATTCATATAATATCTAATAATTATTCAAATTTAAAAATTTTACTGTTAATACTCAAACCCTCCAAACCATAACCACACATTGTTAAGTTCATTCAATGAATTTTTTCATTAAAAATATCAAATCGAATTTTTAGTTTTTATTTTTCTTTTAATATTATACTACTAAAGATCAAGTTTAAATAAAAAACATCACACTATAACTATTTACATAATATAAAAAAAAAAATTAATTTTTTTTAAAAAATCTAACTATTCAAATTCAAATCCAAAATTTAAATCTCCAACAAAATATAAAGTTAGATTTTATTCTTCAAATTTTTTTTTTCTAAAACTATCAAATCACATTTATTTTTTTTATTTTTATATTATATTAAAAATTAATTTTATATTCAAAATATAATCCTAATATATATATTATATCAAACAATCTATTTAAATTTTTTAAAAAATATTGAAAATACAAAATCTAAGCAAATACACCCGAGTCTATTTACCAATTTTTTCTTCTAAATATTTCCGGATTAAACTTGTATTTATCATTTTTTATATTATATTAAAAATTAATTTCATATTTAAATCACCGACATATTTATATTAAATAAAAATTATTCAAATTAATTTTTTTTTATTTACGCAAACTAAAATCTATAACCAAATATATTGTTAAAATTTATTAATTATAATATATTTTTTTAAAGTTTCAGCTACGTTCGGCTTAAAGCCGAATTTTCATATTATATTTGCGTCAAGTTTTTATACTTTTGGATCATATTTATTTTTATGAGTTCTAATTATAATTAATTAAAAATAAAATTTTAAAATATTTGTAAATAAAAAACTAAATAGATTGTCTTGAATTTGTTAAGATTTAGTTGTAAATAAAATTTGTTAATTTTTATTTTCTTTGAAAAGTGGCATAATTGAATGAGACTGGCTAAAAAAAGAAAGGTGACGTAATTGAGTGGGACGAAAGTAGTACATTCTTTTATTTTTTGTACGTTAAAGTAAATAATATTAATATTTTACCTATGATAAGTACAATTGATAAAAAATAACTATGGGTCGGTTTGGTTCAAATGAGGGGATGAGAGGGGAGAGATTTTAATAGAAGGGAAGGGAGGCGAATGAAAGGGAAAGAATATTAAAATTGTAATAATGTGTTTGGTTAATATGAAAGGGAATGAAGGCGAGACCAGAAAAAATAATATTTTTGTGTTTGGTTAACAAAGGGAGATATGAAAAATGTAATAATTTTACTGTTTTACCCTTATGTTATATAAATAAAAAAATAAAAATATTTAATAAAATTTGATTAATTTATTTATAAAATGTGATACAAAATTTATTTGTCCAATATAATAAATACAAAAATTACATTATTACGTATTGGATGAACCAAATACTTTATACATTAAATATTTTTTAAATTTACCAATAAAGATAAACAATGATTTTAAGTATAAATAATAATAATATAACAAAAATTATATACACTAAGTATATTATAAAAGTATTTTAAAGTATACTTAGATTGAATTACTGTGATTCATTTTAATTATAAAAATAAGTATTTATTGAAATCAAAATACATATAAATAATAATGCTATATGAAAATAACAATAAATATAGAAAAATTTATATAAATTGAGTCAATTATAAATATTAGATCTAATTACTTATGTTAATAATGTATTTAGTTAATTAAATCAATTATTCAAACTAAACCTATTCATTCAAAACTAAATTATTTTAAAATTATTTATTACTCCATTGTCCTACATAATTTGTCTATATTTTTTATTTTCATCTATCCCACATAATTTGTTTTTCTTTTTTTGAAAATATAATTATATACTTTAAATATATTTTAAATTTTAAATTTTATAATTTTATAATATTAATTAAAGTATTTAATTATCTTATTTTTAATCTATAATTATTTTTATTATACAATAATTATTTTTATTAATACACTTTTTAATTACTTCCTAATTATATTTTACTTAAATTTTCGTATTTACAAGAATATGCTCATATTAGATGGGACGCATGAAATAAAATATTAGTAGTATAGATATAATTGTATGCTAATTTATAATTTATTAAAAAATTATTATAACTAAACTTGATTAAAAAATTAATTAAAACTACTTCAAAATATATAATATAATTTAAATATATATTAATATTTATTTGATATAATTAAAAATAAAATAAATAAATATTATAAGTTTGAAAAATGTTATAAAATTTTTAATAAAATATGTAAAACGTAGAATAGGTAATTATATAAAAGAAAATTTTGATAAAATCACTCCCCTCCAAATTTCCCCAAATTGGAGGGGAAAAATTGGGTGTGTTTGTTTGGGGGAATTTTGAATTGGGATTTGAATAGTAAAAATTTTGAATTTAAATAGTTGTATGATGTGATATAAATAGGTGTTGATGTGATGTTTTGAATGTAAAATTGATTTTTAGTATAATATAAAAAAATAAAAAATAGGTGTTTGATTTGATATTTTTTTGAGAAAAAAAAAAAGGATGAATAGTGGAAATTAAATCCAATTCCCCAAACAAACACACCCCAAAGAAATTGACTCCCCTCCCCTTCCTTCTCCTCCCCATCCCCCTAAAAATTTTTGAACCAAACACAAAATCTTTTATAATTCTCCTCCCCCCCTTCCTCCCCTCCCCTCCCGTCCTAAACACATATAGTTTTAAGTGAAATATAATATTCTATTTGTCCCACTACAATAGACTTGTTTACCATTTTTGTCCGTCCCAAAACAATAGTTTTATTTCCATAAATAACAATATCACCATAAAATTACTCTTACTTTTTCATTTTTATTACACAATTGCCACTGCTTTTTACACTAATACACCCAAAGGACAAAAAAGTCTTTTATCCATACTTTTTACTAACTACCAATATAATATTAATATTCCTTAAATACTGTGTCCAACCCAATTAAGATTATAATTCTGGGACGGGGAATAATATTTTATTCATTTATACTGAAAAACTAAAAATTAGACGCATTGACAAAAAGTAATATTTTCTTCGTTTCATCTTAATTGTTCGGTTTAGATACGAGAATCTTGACAAATGTATAATTAGTAAATAATTATTGTATAATATAAATAATTATAAATTAAAATTAAAATAATTAATTAAAATTAAAAAGATTATCTATTATAAATTTTAAAATGCAATTAAAATGTATAATAATAATTTTTTGTAAGAAAAAAAAGAAATAAAAATTGTGGCCAAATTATATGACGGGGACGAAGTAAAATAAATATATAAATAAGGGACATAAGAGGATAATTTATCATATATATATATATACATATATGTATTGCTTGTAATGTTTGTAACAATGATTGCAAAAACGAACTTGCATTGTACTCATCAAACTTGCCTTATATTATTGTAAGAAATCTCAATTCCATCACCAAATAATGGCATATTGCTTTCAAAGAGTTTCACCTGCCTTGAAGGAACTTCTTCTCAAAATACACAGGTCAGGTTCAATTTTTTATTTTTTTATTTTATTTTATTTTATTTTATTTTATTTTTCATTATTATTACGATTATTAATCATAATTTTGTGTTCATGAAATGTAACGATCTTGGCAAATTCGATGTACGAATAATGTACAAACAATTTTGGTTATATGTGGCGATAGAGCCGAGAGGCCGCAGCAAATCGATCATCACATACATGAATTCGGATCCGTACATTACCATGTTCAGGTAATTAAGCTTCGAGTTTGTTTACTCGAAGTTTGATTTTGTATTTTGATATGAACAGTAATTAAATAAAAATATATATATTATAATTTTACAAAATATCGCAATAGTTAAAAAGGATTAACAAAAAGAATATTTCTAAATAAACAAAGTCTTATTTATTTATTCTTGTAAGTAAATATTTACAAAAAGAAACTAGCACGACGACGACTATTTAATGCGCTTATATATTGAATGTGTTATGTTAGTGTTTGGCGTCGGATCCGGGATGCACTTATTTATCAATATCAACGCCGGTTGTGTCGCGCGGGCTCCCTCTCGCATCCTCAAAATTTTCGCGACACACTATAGAAATTGTCGAAGGAATTTTCCGCGATGTTGTCGAGATTGTTGAGCCTCCAAACGAAGGTTATCAATTGACTTTGAAGCTAAACTTAGAGAGAATTCCACATGGTAAAGGTTGGTATATTATTCTTGTAGTTGAATATTTTTTATTTTAATTTTATAAATAAATTTTATTGAAAAAGAGAATATTATCGTGTGAACTTACTTAGTTTTAATTTTTATAAATAAGTGTGATAGTATCATTTTATTTTATTTTATTAGAAGTGGCAATTTCGAACCGTTCGATTTTTCATACTAGGCTTGCCGGCTCGTTTTTATTCCGTCTAGCTTGATTTAAAATTGGGCATGGAAGCCTAGGCCCAGTTCAAATTGTGTTGGACGGGCCAGCCCGAATTTTAAATGTATTTTGCATATATATATATATTTTATTAAAAATAAACTATATTAATTTAATTAAATAAAATTATGATAAAAATAATATTTTTATAGATACTAAAACTATTTAAAATTTAATATATGATTAATTTTTTATTTTATTTATAAAAAATATTTAAATTAAAATATTATTTGATAAATTATGCCAGGCCAAACACAATCCAAAACACAGTCCGATCCACAGACTCACGCATCCAAATTTTCAACCATTCCAAGATGACCTAGCCTTAAATTTTTTCTGATTTATTAAATTAGATTTTTGGACCGTACTTATTTTTTCCGGCTATAATTTATATATATATATTTTCTTTTTATTCAGTCCGTAGAATTTACACAAAACATCATTACCTAAAGTTAAAGTATTCAATATAATTATTATCTTTCTTATTATGAAATCTTACAACATAATAAAATGAAATTGTATTAATGTTGGGTTGTTCACATAATATTTTTCAACGAAACAATTCCTCATAAATATTATTAAAAATATATTAATATACATACATTAACAAAATATATATTATATATATATTTTATTTACTCATAAAAAATCAATAATTCAACAAAAATATAATTTTTTATGTTATCAATACAATTTCCCATACCACATATGAAAAATCAATACATCTAAGAGCCAATTCTTTTCCATAATCAAAGTTTTTGGATGTTATATATTTATTTAAGATAGAGACATGAAAAATCAATACATCTAAGAGCCAATTCTTTTTCCATAATCAAAGTTTTTGGATGATATATTTTTATTTAAGATAGAGACAAGGCCGTTCCTGAATTTTTAAGAGCTTGGGCAAAAAAATAAAATGGACCCTTGTTAATTTTTTTTATATATAAAATTAATATTTTTAAATTATTTATTTTATTGTTTTAAATTTTTTTAATCATTTGATTCTATTTACAATGAAATATATTCTCTCCATTTGGCTTTAAGGGTCTGGTTGGTTCAAATGAGAGAAGGGGAGGGGAACGATTTTAATAGAAGGGAGGTGAGGCGAAGAGAAGGAAAAGAATGTTAAAATTGTAATAGGGTGTTTGGTTGATATGGAAGGAAAGGAAAGCAAGGTGACAGAAAATACTATTTTTGAAAAATGTTAGAAAATTTCTAATAAAATATGTAAAGGGTATAATAGGTAATTAGATAAAAGAGTTTTTTTGATAAAATCCCTCTCCTTCATATTCCCCCAAATTGGAGAGAAAAAAAAAATTAGAAGAAAAATTTGAACTAAACAAAAATTTTTTTATAATTCCCTCCCCTTCCCTCCTAAACCCTCAAACCAAACAGACCCGGTCTCATTTATCTTTTGCGCTATTGTACTTAATATTATTCTTTTGCACAAATGTCTTTGTAACAGTATTATAACACTAATAGAGTATTTTTGCCATTTTCCTTGATTTGTACTGTATTTTCGTATAATAATTAATATTAAAAAATCAACATATAAAAAGTAAATAGAATCCTTAGAATCGGACGGAGGTATTATTATTATTATTATTATTTTTTTTATAAAATATCACATTAAAATATATTTAAATAAAAAATCTAAATTTAAATACAAATAAAAAAATTAATATAAATTTTTATATTATACATATATTTATAAATATTATTATATATAAATATATAGTCCCTCTGTCCCAAAACAATGGTCACATTTTGTCATTTTCGTCCGTTTCAAAACAATCGTCTCATTTCTATTTTTGATAGCTAACTCTCTATTTTTTTATTTTTTTTTACAAAACTATCCCTATTTTTTTCACAATAATTACATAAGATAAGGGTATTTTAGTATTTAAAAATATTTTTATATCGACTATCAATATAATATTATTTTTTCTTAATTCTCATATCCATTTCAAATGTTCCTACCGTTTTGAAACGAATGAAGTATTTTTTTTTTTATAAAAATAGGCCCTTGGCCTAAAAATTTGGAGCCTGGGCGTGGATCAAGGTAGCCCATGCTTAGGGCCGGCCTGATAGAGAGAGTTAGAATATGCAGTAGGCAATATATTAAAAATAGATTTCGAATGTATACAAAATTATACTTTAATTTAATTAGTATATTTTGAATATAAGTTTTAATTTGTAAAAAATATAATTTTATAGTATAACACAACCGAATAAAAAAGAAAATACTATACATGTTCTGTATTTACCATAATGAACACAAATTATTTTATAAAAAATAGAGTTCTTTAAATGTCTATAAATATAACTAAGTATTTAGCAGATATATTAAATACGATATTACAAGTTGGTCAAACTTCTAGAAAAATAGTTGTAATAAAAAAAATTAAGAGTACAGTATCAACCGATATTTCAACCTGTAACCAAATGTATCCTTAATTAATTTTCATATATATTTATATTGTAGTGTCGACAAAAATCATCGCAAATATATCATCAGTCCAAGCTCTAATACTCAGCTCTCAGCTGAAACAAGTCCTGAAGAACATCGAAATCTATCAGGAAATAGCTTTGTACAAACCCATAAAACTCACCTATCATCCAAAGGAACCATTCTTTCTCATCAAACAGGTAACAAGTGTGTTCTTTTGTATTTTCATTTAAAAAAAAAAAATAACAAAGAGATGAAAAATAATAGTTAATGCCATGTTTTGTATGAAAAATTAATGTTGTGGTGTGATGGTTTTTTGGGAAAAAAAATATATGAAAATGAGAAATAGGAAATAAAAGGGTATCAATATATATGCTCGGAAAATTATTTCAAAGACTTGATATAATTATTCGAATGTTGGCAGGCAGAAAAAATGACTGCAATTTTCCCCATGCGCTTCAAGGAAGACGAAGATGTAGTTATTGCTACAACATTTTTTCAAGTAAATCTAAGGCTCTGATCTCTTACAGATTTTGTTCAAATTTTTGTACTATGCAATTTTTATGATTTTTTATAAAAATATATTGTTTATTCTTATAAAATAGATTAAATCACTGTTCAAACATAAATACAGATACAAGCTAAATACGCCCCTAAGTATTATTATTACTTTCAAACCTTAAGATAAGTTGCGAATTAGTGTATGCGTATGTATATATGATCTTCAGAGCTCTAAACACACATTAGGAACTTGTGGATGCTGGAAATTCAAATCGGCGGGCTCCTCGTTGCATGTGGTCCCCTATCCCGCCTCCGGAGCTAAGAGGAGAGCCCATCGAAGACTTGTGCACCAATTCCGGATTCGTTTCATTCGGTAATGATCACTTTTACTCATTCATATGTTTGTGATCATATGTATAGACTCGCATATATATGAGTTTTTGTCGATCTTAAGCTGCTTGCTCGCGAGGCCTTTTATGTCTTTTATGTAGTTGATTAAAAAATAATAGTATTTGATTAATTAGTAGAAATGTATATGTCCTTACAAGTATAAAAGAAATTAATAAAGACATATTTTGATATTTATATATGAATTACTTTTACTAAAAAAAAGATATTTTTAATAGAAAATAAATACTTTTGAATGAAATGAACGGAAAAAAAAAATGTATATGAAGTTGGGAAAGAAAATATATTATATTTATAGATAACAACGTTATTTGTGTTTAATTAAGTTCATTTCACTTCAAATTTGACAAGTTCAGATTTGAATACTAGAAGAAAATAACTAATTGAAAATTTTAAAATGATTTGATTTGAATCAAATTAAAAAAATTGATAATTAAGAATTTTATAAAAATTAATCACGCTTTTCTTCAAATTTTGTAAAGATACAAAATTTTAACAATCATTTATATCAAATCTTGTAAATCTGAACTATCAATTCTAAAAATATTTACACGATAAGTAACTTCTACCATGTTGCTAGAAAACTTAGAGCATTATTCTTCGTCTTACCCTTCCAAATTCGAGTGTAGATATTACTTCCAAACATGTGAGGGGGAAGAAACTCGACAAGACGGTTTGGAACCTACTAAATTTTAATGCATTCGTGAAGCATCATGTGAAGGTATGTATTGTATAGAATGTCAATTGGTAGCAATCTATCATTGTTTGAGGCTAAACCATTCGAGTCTCTTTATATAGACCACAAGAAGTTTTATACAACGGAGGATGAGAATGCGCCTTCAACGTTTGGTTCAGGTAATGGAGCGATCGTATCTAATTTTACAAATTCTCTAGTTCTACTTAGGTTTCATAAATCTCTAGTGACATTTATTATTTTATATTTTGAGGTAAAAATAGTTTTTTTTAATGTGATTGTTTTTATAAAAAAATATATATTAATATCATATTTTTTGAAGAAAAAAAATATAATAGTACATAATAAAAAATAAAATAATACAACCCTAGTCTTGAAAGTTTTAATTATACCATAATGATAGATGACCTGTCGCGCGGTCAATCAAATATTTCATCTACTCCGTGATCACAATTTAATGTAATACAGGGGAAGGGACCGTCTCCACAGGGATTGTGTGATTTACTCTTTCGTGTTCTAATGCAGTAAACAAATGGGGAATTTTCTTTTATTATCTAATGAAAATAAAATAACAAAGCAATTAAATAAAGGGGGAACCGACTATCAAGGGGATGTCTGGCTTAAGGGATGATGCAGTTATGACACTTGTGTTTTATCATTAATTCAATAAAGTTAATTCTTATTAAAGTATCAATAAATTGGTTATAGTTTATCAACAAGCTCTGACAACTAATTTTTCTTTACAGTGTAGGTAATTAAGGTACGACCGTTAACTACCCCTAATTAAGTAAATAAACCTAGGTGCGCCCATAAGAATATTGCCTAACCGCATTGTAATGTATAAAAACCCAATTAGAAACAATTACTACCTAAGAGGAGCAATTAGATTTGATTGTCCAACCCCCGGGAAGGAACTATTCAACCCGGTTATCACCTATTCAAGTGCGAATACAATTACGGATATCCTACCTGAATTGACTATAGATTATCAGACTAATTTAAATATCGGTAACAAAATATTCAATCAATCTAACAATCACAAACGCTATTCTCAGAATTAGACAAATATTGATAATTAAAAAGAACTTTTATAAAGAAAATCAAGAATCTCCAAAACAAAAGAACCAAAACATTATCACATTTCAAACCAGAAAAGTATCTACTCCATAATCAAATAACAAGGAATAAAAGAGAAAGATGAAGTCATAGTGGGAGGGGGAAATCTTCTCTGTCGATTTGCTCATGCACGATCTATGAATCTGCCAGTCTCCTGCTCCTGTGCGTTTCTGCCTAGCCGTCCTCTCCTCCTATAGGCGTGTGTTCCCCCCATTTTATTTAATTTTTGCCTTAATTATTTTGTAGATGGGCTTTTGGGCCTTTAATTAATTTCTCATATCAAGAGGGTGTAGTTAGTCATGGTCATGACTAACTAGGTTGTGCACACAGCAAATAAACAATTCGCATATAAATTAGGTAGAATCCAATCAAAATCACTCAAATATCGCATATGATATGAATATAAAACGCATGCGATTTCTAACTATCAATTCTCCCGACACCTAGATCATGCTTGCCCTCAAGCATAAATTCGAAATAAGCCAAAGAAATCGCAGGCAACTCGATATGACAAGAGGATCCAACAGAACCAATTCAATCCGAATTTTAACACATCAAGCCAAGTCAACCTCACAAGATAAAGTGTATTCGCACATGCTCTCTGTAAGAATTAAGTGTATAATTGGCTCAACACTTAGGTAGTGCAACAAAAGATTATTCTATAGGCTTGAGTAAAAATCAAATCTCCCTTGCTTAAAATATTCGAATCTAGCATAAAGAATCAAAGGGACTTTCAACAATGGTTGTAACGGGGCTTATGGTCAGGGTAGGAAAAAGGATATACAAGGGCTAAAATATGTCAGAAAAGAATACAATAAGAACACGATGCTAGCATATGAAAAACAAATCGGCATAAACAATGAAATCCTTACTCTATTCACTACCCAAATTTTAATAATGAAATTAAATGAAAATACTTTATTAAGACAATTATTTATTTATTTATTTTTGTATTATTTTTTGTTTCTTTTTTTTTTTTCGTTTTTTTTTCTATATATTTTTTTTATTTATTGTTTTTTTTTTTGATTTTTGATTTTTGATTTTTATTTTTTGGCTTTTGCCTTTATATATATATACCTACACTACCCACAGTTATTCCTTCATACTATGCCTTATTCGTATCCAAAGTTCGTTTCTAACTAGTGCCGAAGAAATGAAGTGCATCACAACATGGACTTAAATTAATTCATTCTAACATAGGGTTCAAATCGGAGAACGCTTAATCAAAAGAAGGGTATGAGGCTAAAATACAAGTTATTATAAAAGAAAAATAGGCTAAGAAGGCTCAAATGGGCTATTTAGGGGAATATATTGTGCTGGGTAATAAAGAAAGGCTTAATGGGTTACCTAATGCCCTTATCATTTTCAAAACGCAAGACTTGATAGTTGCAAATTCAACATGCATAATTACTCAAGTTCTAGGTCATCTAATTGAGCACTACAAATCACATATGAAAGAAATTTCCAAAAGCTTGAATATATGCAATTTATTTTCTAATGTGACTTTTGGAACATAGGCTCAAATTCTCACAGGGTTCAAACGTCGACTTGACTCGATATATCACCAATCAAATGTCATTAGTCATGCCAAACTAACATATCACACAAATCACCTTTGACTCACTTCAGACAAATCTAAAAAACATGCAAAATGACAGCAAATCAGACATAAAAGGTAGCACAAAAATGAAAATTTTGCCCAAAAATTTGCATAACTCTCCCCACACATAAAGTATGCATTGTCCTCAATGTAAAGAAAGCAATAAAAGAAGAGAGGAACTTCCCTCTAGTCCATAAAGGGGTGTAGTAGTTGGGAGCTTTGTTAACACCTCTTCATTTGATCGTGATTTTTAGAGGAGCGGATATGGTGATCGGCGATGACTGAGCAGGGGAGGAAGAAGTCGACGGCGCCGGAGGTTGGAGGCGGCGACTAAACAAAACAAAACTATCAAAAGTGTTATTAGCAATTAAACAATAAAAATAAATAAAATTAAAGAAAACAATTAAATGATTTTGGGTTGTCTCCCTAAAAGCGCTCTTCTTTATAGTCTTTGAGCTAGACTTCGTCGCGTCTCAGTTCTGAACATCGAAATCGGCAACGGGTGCCGACTTTATAGGATCAAGTGAGGGTCCCTCATGGTATAATTTGAAGTGATGTCTATTGGCCACACACTTTTTCTTCGGCTTAGAATTTTGATTCTCCTTATGACATTTTTTCGCTGCCAGCAATGGTGATCCCTTGGGAATCCATCTCCACTTTTCGACAATCTTTTTTCTTTTCTTACTCTCTCCAGTTGGTCTTTTCTCTAACTGTTTTGTCAACATAGTTCTTCGTTTATTCTCATTACCAACTTCACAAGTTTCCTGCACCACAGAATTAATAACATTAATTGCATATAACGATTCAGATTCAACAGGACATTTGACGGGATTAAAAATATTGAAATAAAATTCTTCTCCATCAAACTCCAAGCTGAGTGTGCCTTTTTTAACATCTATCTTTGTTCCTGCAGTGCACATAAAAGGTCTTCCTAACAAAAGAGGCGGTGGATTAAAACAATGTGCATCGTGCATATCAAGAATATAAAAATCAACAGGAAAAATTAATTCATTCACTTGAACTAATACATCTTCTATCATACGATCGGGATAAGCATAGGTTCGATCAGCAAGTTGAATGATAATTCCTGTTTCTTTTAGATGCCCTAGATTTAAAGAGTCGTATATTGATCGAGGCATGACATTAATAGCAGCTCCTAGATCTAGCATAGCCTTAGTTATCTCAGTTTTTCCAATCTTACAAGGGATAGAAAACATACTTGGATCACCTGTTTTAGGTGGTACCTTTCTTTTGATAATAGCAGAAACATTCTTACCCGCTATAATGTGCTCGTCCCCTCGCAATTTTCTTTTGTTGGTGCACAGTTCTTTCAAAAACTTTGCGTACTTGGAGATTTGGTTGATAGCTTCCAGGAGCGGGATATTAAGTTCCACCTTCTTGAAGATTTCCATCATCTCTTTTCGTTTGTTCGCCTTTTGTGGTTTCTTCAACCTGTCAGGAAAAGGAGCTAATTTAGTTTCAGTAGGAGGAACAGAGTCAGGAAGTACCTTTTCGTGAAGTTCCGCTTCTTTTTCAACCTCCATCTCAATCTGATCCTCATTTTGTTCCTTTGAGATAGGAGGTGGACCTTCCAATTCCTTTCCGCTACGAAGAGTTATAGCACTCGTATTCTTTGGATTAGGCCGGGAAGAACATTCAATATTCGTATCATTGCAGATAGTGATGGCGCTGACATTTGCTGGATTTGGCTCAGGCTGAGCAGGCCACTTTTCTCTTTCACGTAGCTGTCTCACCTCCTCCGACACTTGATTGATCTGACCTTGTAATTTGTCGACAGTTGACTTTATCTCTTGCTGGAATTGCAGGGTACTGGTAGCCATAGACTTCACTAAGTCTTATAAAGATGGACTGGAGTTGCTTGTGGGTGCTTGGGGCGGCTGTTTCTCATAGAAACGAGGTTGTTGCATCTGCTGCATAGCTCCAAATGGTTGATGAGCATTACCCTGCTGTGCGTATCCATAACACAAGTTCAGATGATCTCTCCAGCCTGGATTGTAGGTGTTGGAGTATGGATTGTACATTGGAGGTCTATTCATACAGTAGTTTGCAGTGTTCACATCCACTGCACATTCTTCTTGGAGGGTCGGACATGCATCTGTAGAGTGTCCTGCACTCGCTACATATTCCACACGCCTTGACCTGGACACTCGGGTTGGATTTTTCCACGACCATCTTGCGAACGAAGCTCGTCAACTCAGAAAATTGTTGTTGTATCGATTGGATGGCATGGTCGCTGTTGTTTCCGCTCATATGTCCAACATCTCTTGAACCAAATTGCTGCGTGTTTTCAGCCATCCTCGCAATAAGATCCCAAGCTTGTGCCGGCGTCTTATTTACTAAAGCTCCACCACTTGCAGCATTGATAATGTTCCTGTCCATCAATGCCAAACCATCATAAAAGTATTGAATCAATAATTGAGGGGGAATTTGATGTTGTGGACATTTAATGATAAGCTTATTGAATCGCTCCCAATATTCATGGAGCGTTTCACCTCATTGTTGCTTGATGCCACATATCTCTTTCCTCAGGATCGCAGCTCTGGAAGCTGGAAAGTACTTCTCCAAAAATTTCTTCTTCATGTCGTTCCACGTGTCGATGCTTCCAGGTGGGAGATAGTAGAGCCAATCCTTTGCACCATCTTTGCGTGAGAATGGGAAGGCTCTGAGTTTGATCTGTTCGTCAGTAACACCTGGTGGTTTCATGCTGGAGCACACCACGTCGCACTCTTGCAAGTATTTGTGAGGTTCTTCACCTGCAAGTCCATGAAAAGAAGGCAATAAATGAATTAATCCAGATTTCAGTTCAAAAGCAACAATGCTATTGAGTGTTGGAAAGTTAATGCATAAGGGCTGCTGCGCCAAGTCAGGAGCAGCCAACTCCCTTAAAGTGCGGGTATCCTCAGCCATGACAGTCTCTTGATCACTTTCAGAGTCGCTAGAGCAAGAGATTTTGAGGTGGTTTAAAGATTCTGCCAGCTTCGCAACCTGAGCAGCTTTTCGTTGTTTGGCTTCCTTTCGCAGCTTTCGCTCAACCTTCTCGATCTCAAGATTAAATATCAGTTCACCTGTACGAGAAGAACGGGGCATAAACAAGAGGATAAATTAAAATAACACAAAAGAGTAAAACAAAGCGCAAATCCCCGGCAACGAGCAAAAATTGACCTGTCGCGCGGTCAATCAAATATTTCACCTACTCCATGATCACAATTTAATGTAATATATGGGAAGGGATTGTCTCCACAGGGATTGTGTGATTCACTCTTTCGTGTTCTAATGCAGTAAACAAAGGGGAAATTTTCTTTTATTATCTAATGAAAATAAAATAACAAAGCAATTAAATAAAGGGGGAACTGACTATCAAGGGGATGTCTGACTTAAGGGATGATGCAGTTATGACACTTGTGTTTTATCATTAATTCAATAAAGTTAATTCTATTAAAGTATCAATAAATTGGTTATAGTTATCAACAAGCTCTGACAACCAATTTTTCCCTACAGTGTAGGTAATTAAGGTACGACCGTTAACTACCCCTAATTAAGCAAATAAACCTAGGTGCGCCCATAAAAATATTGCCTAACCGCATTGTAATCTAGAAAAACCCAATTAAAAACAATTACTACCTAGGAGGAGCAATTAGATTTGATTGTCTAACCCTTGGGAAGGAACTATTCAACCCGGTTATCACCTATTCAAGTGCGAATACAAATACGGATATCGTAACTGAATTGACTTTAGATTATCAGACTAATTTAAATATCGGTAACAAAATATTCAATCAATCTAACAATCACAAACGCTATTCTCAAAATTAGACAAATATTGATAATCAAAAAGAACTTTTATAAAGAAAATCAAGAATCTCCAAAACAAAAGAACCAAAATATTATCACCATTCAAACCATAAAAGTATCTACTCCATAATCAAATAACAAAGAATAAAAGAGAAAGATGAAGTCATAGTGGGAGGGGGAAATCTTCTCTGTCGATTTGCTCATGCGCGATCTATGAATCTGCCAGTCTCCTACTCCTGTGCGTTTCTGCGCTAGCCGTCCTCTCCTTCTATAGGCGTGTGTTCCCCCCCTTTTATTTAATTTTTGCCCTAATTATTTTGTAAATGGGCTTTTGGGCCTTTAATTAATTTCTCATATCAAGAGGGTGTAGTTAGTCATGGTCATGACTAACTAGGTTGCGCAAATCTGAATTTTTCTTCCATTTTTCTGTCAATTATGCCAAATTTGATATTTGCCCTCTGCACACAGCAAATAAACAATTCGCATATAAATTAGGTAGAATCCAATCAAAATCACTCACATATCGCATATGATATGAATATAAAATGCATGCGATTTGTAACTATCAATAGAAAGGTATTTATTATGCCTAGGGCTATTATTCACGCCAAGTAGAGTCAAGTATCTTATGTTCGAACTCGACTTAGAGTTTTCATCGAGCTAAACTTAAACTTGCAAATAAATATACATTTTATCGAGCTTGATAGTTTTATATACTATATATTAAAAATATAAATTTACTACTTAACCTATTTGAATTGATATTTTTTTCAAGCTCGAGCTTGACTCATTAGTTTACTTAACGAGCCAAGTTCAAGCCTTAACAAACTGAGCTTTTGAGTAGTTTGACTCACATAACAGCCCTAATTACACTTAAGAAAACTTTGGATATTAATTATCTTTTGTTATAATTAAAATCCCGGCCTTGACTTGCTTTTGAGACCAAAAACTCTTGGTATTGACCCATGATTCTTGTGTTATAGCCTCTACAAAATGTAAGGATCGAAGAAGAAGCCCCGGTGAACAAGGTCCGAGGAGGCATGAAAGGTACTAAAATCGATTCTCTTAAATTTATAAATGCTTACATGGTTAGGCGACAATGACATTTTTATTTCCTCTTCTCATATATTCATTTTTTTTCCTTCGTGATTTAAAGCATACATGAAATTTCCAATGTAGGATGCACAAAAGTCAAGAAATGGATAAGTGCCTCGAAACAAAAAATCCTCAAGCGAAGATATGACCTCACCAAAAAAATGAAGCGAATTCGTTCGAGGATCAAGATTCATGGCTTCATTCGATTTCGAAGAAAATGGCTGCCGTTTCCCAAATTTTCTCCTGTCACACGATATATAAAGCTCGAATAGTGAATTCATTTTCGTAGGAATGTTTTCGGGCTTGAACCTTACCTTATCTATAATAGAATTTTGTGAGAAATAAATCTAATATGAACTTTCTTTTCACTTTATTTTTTTCGTCAAATTTTCTAGTAACTAGTATGTTCTTTTTAATTTGAACTTCTTTATATATATATATATACATATATTTTCTTGGATATAAATAATTTTTGATATAATATTTTATGAAAAAATATATTTTTATTAAAAATCATGAGAATTAAATAGTAAAGAAAATAGAACAAAAGCCAAGATCTTTGAGAAAAGTATTCTAATTTGAACTCAAGTGTCTTGTTTTATTAAAAATCATGAGAATTAAATAGTAAAGAAAATAGAACAAAAGCCAAGATCTTTGAGAAAAGTATTCTAATTTGAACTCAAGTGTGTTGTTTTCTATTTGAAGTATTATTCTAAACTTTTACATTCTTTCTTTATTTTCTTTTATTATTATTACTTTTTTTTAACAATAATGTTCTTTACCATTTATATATTCTAAATAAAAAGAACATGAAAGGTAAAATGGATAAAAGACTATTGAAATTATATCCCCTCCAGTAAAAATTTTACGAAAACTCAACATTGACACGCTATAGATACGAGTTTACCTTCTACACCATTGGATCAGTCCTTATAATGCGATTTGTAATGTATATTAAGAATACGAATAGATTGCATCTTATTAATTGATTTGACTGAGTTTAGTTAAATATGTCTTTTGGGTTCATTATTATTATTACCGATAAAATTTATTGTTACAGAAAAAATACTCCTTCCGTTCATTAATAATATATTTATTTATTTTTTTATATGCAAATTTAGGTATATTATTTTTTTACTGAATTGTAGTACAAATGATGCATATAAAGATAATTGTCTTTATTTTTTGATTGAAAAGTAATTATTTGATGATAAAGTAGAAATATTTTTGTATTTACGCCAGGATGTAACTTTATTAAAAAAATAATAATAAGAAATACGAGTAGATAGACGAAAATAAAAATAAAAATAAGAAGATTTTCAGTAGACGGAATAGTAAACTTTATAAAATTTTACCATGAAAAATCTATGAAGGTATTCTGTATATTTTTTCATGACTTTTGAGCAGGACTGTTTCAAATTTTTTCACTAAAAAAAATTGTTATTTACAGATAGATTCTAATCTGCTACAAATATTTCGTTTCAAAAGCTATTTATTGTACCAAATATTCTCATTACAAAGGTATTTTTTTGGGTTGGTTAACCTTTTTGCTTTTGTTGCGGTATTTTTCCGTAACAATTACAATAATTTTAATTTTAAATTTTAATTAACTCTAAAATAATTTTAAATAATATATTCCCTCCGTCCCGCTTAATTTGTCCACTCTTTTCATATCCGTCCGTTCCACATAATTTTTTTTGAGATATAATTATACACTTTAATCATATTTTAAAATTCATAATTATATAATTTTTTTATTTTAATTAAAATATTTATTCATCTTAATCTATAATTATTTTTATTATATCATAATTATTTTTACTAATACACTTCTTAATTACTTACTAATTATATAATACCTAAATGCCCAAACTAAAGTGAAGAAAAGGAATATCATATATATATAATATAATATTTATATATTAAGATATAAACATTAAAATTAAAATAATGGATCTACTCAAAATTAAAATTAATATATACAAATTAAAATGGAAATAATAGGTGTATTTAAAATAAAAATATATATATAATGGATGTATTTAAAATTAAAATTTAAATATAAAAATTTAAACTCAAATCATAGGTGTATTTAAAATTAAAATTAATATATAATAATTCAAATTCAAGTAATGCGTATATATAAAATTAAAATTAAAATTTAAAATAATAAGCGTATTTAAAATTATAGTTAAAATAATAAGTGTATTTAAAATTAAAATTAATATATAAAAATTTAAATTAAAATAATAAGTATATTTAAGATTAATATTAAATAAGAATAAAACCTATATTTAAAACTATAATTAAAATAATAGATTTATTTTAAAATTTAAATTAATATATAAAAGTTTAATTAAAATAATTGATACTTTAAAATTAAAATTAATATATAAAAATTATAATTACAATAAAAAATAAAATTATGAAATTAAAAAAAGCCCTAGCTAGCCAGGGCCCTCATTCTTCTTTTCCCTCGATTTTTCTTCTTCTTTGTTTTACCTATCTTTTTCATCTTTTTTTCATTTTTTCTCTCTGATATTCTTCTCCTTTCTATCGCCGGTTCATTCTTATCCGAGAAGCAGCCCCTGTCATGCGCTATCATCATCGACCTGTCGACCGCGTGCCGCCGCCGCCCTCAAACTGTCGACCGCAAGCCGCCAAACAAGCTCAGACCTGCAACCAGTTTATGCTTGTAGGTTTGTATTTGTTTATTTTTATAAGATTCTTAAATTTTCTTACTAGTTAGGTTTTTTCTTATACATATTGTAATATTATTATAGGATTAGCCAATAGAAATATTAATGATTTCTACCGCTAACCATTATTTTATACTATATTGTATAAAAAATAATATACGGAAAAAAATATTATACTATAGATATAATATATATATCTAAGCTACTCTGTATATATATAAATATATATGAGTGGATAGTGTGTGTAATTATATATATATATAATATTTATTGTGTGAAGATGTTTATAAAAAGTGAGGGGAGGAAATGCAGTAACATAGACAAAGTAAAAATGAGATGTGTTTTGATTTCATTCATTCCACCGGTCTTTATATATGAAAGTACCCCGCAACGAAATAATTGAAAGCATACATAATAGTTATGTAGCACATCGTGTGTGCTACGTGTACAATACTCCCCCTTGGATGCTTTTATACGAAGAATATGTTTCGTTAAAACCTTACTAGGAAAAAACTCTGTGGGACAAAAAATTCTAGTGAAGGAAAAAGAGTACAATATTCTTGCATCAATTTGCTCCCCCTAATATGAGCATTATTTGAGATCCCTTAACCGACGCATCCCAATTTTCTTCACCAATTTTTCAAATGTTGCCGTCGGCAATGCCTTGGTTAATATATCCGCCAAATTATTATCTGATCGAATTTGTTGCACAATGATTTTACCATTTTGTTATAGATAGTGAAAAAGAATTTTGGCGAAATATATTTCGTTCTATCTCCTTTGATATAACCCCCTTTCAATTGGGCTATATAAGTTGCATTATCTTCATACATTTTAGTTGGGGGAATTTTATTGGTAGGGATTAACCCGCAATTTCTCAGAATATGTTGAGTCATTGACGTCAACCAAACACATTCTCGACTAGCTTCATGTATTGCCAATATTTCAGCATGATTTGAAGAAGTGACAGTTAAAAATTGTTTCATCGATCTCCAAAATATCACTGTTTCGCCACAAGTAAATATATAGCCAGTTTGAGACTTGGCTTCATGAGGATTCGATAAATATCCTGCATCGGCAAATCCAATCAATTCATGTCGAGAATCTTTCGAGTAAAATAACCCGAGATCAATTGTTCTTTGGAGATAGCAAAAAATGTGCTTAATCCCATTCCAATGTCGTCGAGTAGGCGATTAGCTGAATCGTGCCAATAAGTTTACAACAAATGATATATCAGGTCGGGTGTTGTTAGCAAAATACATCAATACGCCTATAACACTCATATATGACACTTCTGGGCTAAGTGTTTCTTCATTTTCCTCTTTTGGTCTAAATGGATCCTTTATTGGATCGAGTGCCCTGATGATCATTGGGATACTTAGCGGATGTGACTTATCCATCAGAAATTGTTTTAGTACCCTTTTGGTATAATTTGATTGGTGGATAAAGATTCCACTTTCCAAGTGCTCAATTTGCAAACGAAGGCAAAATTTGGTTTTTCTAAAATCTTTGATCTCAAACTCCTTTTTCAGATATTCAACAGCTTTTTGGATTTCATCAGGAGTTCCATTAAATTGAGATCATCTACATATATAGCGATGATTACGAATCATGACCTATTTTTCTTTATGAAAACACATGGACAGATAGTGTCATTTATGTAACCTTCTTTTGTTAAGCTTTCACTGAGACGATTGTACCATATTCGGCCTGATTGCTTGAGCCCATACAAAGAATTTTGCAATTTTGATGGAATATGATTCTTTTGGCTTTGATTTGAATGATTCAGGTATGTGAATCCCTTATGCGATTTTCATGTAAACGTCATTGTCTAAGGAGCCATAAAGATAGGCAGTAACCACTTCCATTAATCGCATATCAAGATTATTGTGTACTGTCAGGCTCACCAAATACCTGAATGTTATTCCATCCATGACCGGCGAATATGTTTCCTCAAAATCAATGCCCAGTCTCTGGGAAAAATCCTGGGCTACCAGCCTTGCTTTATATCTTGTGATATCATTAATTTTATTTCTTTTTCTCACAAACACCCATCTGTAACCAACAGGTTTCACATTTTTAGGTGTTTGGACTATAGGGCCGAATACTTGCCGTTTTTTCAATGAGTCCAATTCACAATTAATTGCGTCTTTCCATTTTGCCCAATCATCTCTTTGCCGACATTCATCAACTGATTTTGGTTCATAATCCTCGTCATCTTTCATTTTATCGAGTGCTACAGAATATGCAAATGCATTATCAATATTTGTTTTTTTTTTCTGTTCCAATATTTTCTACTGGTGGTATAGTTAATGAAAGTTTCAATAACTTCATCATCACTTTCATCAGAATTTTTAGTATCAACCTCTTCAGGGGTTGTATTGACATTTTTAGGTGTCTGATCATTATTGATCTGTTCACCCGTATTTATAATTTTCTTTTTTCGTGGATTCTTGTATTTGGAACCCAACGGTCTACCACGTTTTACACGGGCAGTATGCTCATTAGCACTCGGCACCTTCCCTTCTAGGATATTTATTTTAGATGGTGCATTTTCTGCTGCAATATATGATTTTGTAACTCTGGCAGCATCATTGAAAGCATCACGCAATTGGTTTGCAATTTTCTGCAAATGCACAATTCTTTGAACTTTAAGTTCACTATGTTTCAT